CCCAGGAGCCCCAGGGATCCCCCGACTGGTTGGGGCGCATGGAAACGTTCTGGCGGTTGGCAACAGGAGATGAAAATCCGGTGTTGGGTGCTGCGAGCTGGGTCTGCGCTGCACAAAGACAGAGGACTTGTAATGGTCGAATTCGCCAGTGCCATTCAGTTTGAAACCACCTCCCCCTTCCTTCATTTTCCGCAAATAAAAACAAATACACAAAAATCACTCTGGCTTTCTTTTTAGTAATCTTAAACGAAGCCAAGTGATGGGGTTTAGTCGCTGAAAACTGACAACCAAATTTGCTTGTGAGGCCTCCTGTGGCATCTTCTGGGGCCTAGGCTTCTGGCCTGGGTGATACTGGTTGCAGAAGTGCCCGCTGGGTTTTCCTGAGGTCCTGGGAGGGGCGGGGTGTGGTCCGCCACAGACCCTGGGGACCAGTCCTAGGTTTTCCACAAGGAGCCTGGGAGATACAGATATTTATAGGCATCTGGAGAGGGCTTTTGGGGCCAGGGTCAACTCATCTCCAATGTCCTCCCCTTGCCCCTCTGGGATCCGCTCCTACGCTGGCAGGAGGGGGGGACCCTGGAATTAATCAGAGTGTATAAATGTGTCATGAGGAGAGCTTGAGCTCAGTCCGGCAACTGCAGTGCACACGGTTTGTCACTCGGTTAGAAACGGGCTGAAGCACGTGTCCCTGGGCGCACCACGCATTGGGACAGTAAGGTAGGGAGCCAGCACCCTGGGGCGTGTGTGTTTTGTCACGGAATGGCATGTTTCTGGTGCATTTCACTGCTGCAGGGGAGCCAGGAGGACCTACAGGTAAACCTTGGGTACATTTCTAGTGGCCGCAGTGTCTTGGCAGTTCCATTCTGTGGATGCGGATCTATTGTTTCCCCCATGATCGTAAACTCGCTTCCAGGGAAGCATTGTGGACCCCACTGCCTTTGCAGCTGGTATACTCCACGTCGCAGGGAATTTTGTTGTTTCTGGGCCGGGCGTCAGGGCTGGCGGCAGACCCAGGAAAGGAGTGCAGTCTGAATGGCGGTTCTCCACTGGCCTGTGTGTCTGGTGACAATTGAGCCAAGCAGAGGAGGTTTCAAAAACTCTGGTCTCTCTTCTGAGGTGGGAGGATGGTGCCCAGGCCCCCTCCGGTCTTGAGCAGGGACGAGGCTGTGGCAAAATGGAAGCTCAATGGCTGCCGTGAGTGATGAGATGGACTCTGCCTGGGGCTGGCTTGGGTCTTTATGTATTTATATTTTCTGCTATAAAGTACCCCAATTATATAATCCTGAGAACAGAAATCTTATTTTGAACATCTTATGAAGCCTGTTGAGTTGATTATATTTTTATTTTTAATAAAACAACTTAAAGATATTCACAACCTCTGGGCCCAGAGTCTCGTGGGGTTTTTGTTGTTGCTGCTTTAGTGGCTGAGGGGGCCTGGCTCCACTGGCATGAAAGCAGGGTGATGGAAGAAATTGGAGTGCTCTGTGGGGCAGTGGAACCTCTGTGGTATCCTGGAGCATGGCCCTGGAGGAGAGGACTGTCCTGGGCTCCAGGGGTATATATGGGAGGGCATATGTAGAGGATAGTGTAGGCCGAGTGAGATCGGAGATCTGGTCCTGCTCTGTTGCAAATCTTTGTGACTTTGGGCAAGGCAGCGAGCGGTCCCTTCGACAGCCCAGTCTCCAAGTCAGCAGTAATGTTTACTTGAGCCATTGTGCAGTGCTTTTAAATGCATAAGGAGGTATTTCCCAGCGGACCCCACGGAGGCAGAAAGGGGGTGGGGGAGTGCTGGAAGAATTCCAGAGCCTTTATGACACCCCTTCCCGTGTGTGGATGGGAGCTCAGGCCCCAGTAGCCTCAGGGGGCACCCTTTGAATGTGCAAGGCTCCATACTGCCTCGGCCAGGCCTGCCTTCCAGACCCCACCTCACTTCTGAGTCCAGCTGAGCAGGAGAGGGTGCAGTGTGCAGGGAGGTAGGGCCAGGGTCGTCCCTTCCTGATGTCTCATCTCCAGTCCCAGCGGGAGGACAGGGAGGCTAGGGTTCCCAGCAGCTGCACAGAGCACACCGTGGATGTGCTGGGTGTAGCCCCCCCCCCCCGCAGGGGGTG